AGCATAACCTTAATACCAAAACCAGGAAAAGACATCACCCAAAAGGAAAACTACAGACCAATATCCCTCATGAATATAGATGCAAAAATCTTCAGGTATTCCCAATATGTAGGTTCTCTTTTTACTTTTTGGGAGAAGTCTTTTTAAGCACATAAAAATTTAAACTTTAGAAGGTCCCAATCATCTAGTTTATCTTCTGCTGTTTGTGGATTTTGGGTTATACTTGATAGTCTATTTATGCCATATATTTAGAGCCCCTAAATTTGCCACTATTTTTTCTTTGAAGAACTTTATAGTTTTTGATTTCACATTTAAGTCTTTGATCCATGTGGAGTTAGTTTTTGTGTATCGTGTGAGATGTGGATCTTATTTCATTTTTCTGCAAATGGATAACCAGTTTTGTCAGTACCATTTGTTAAAGAGACCATCTCTTCCTCATTTAATGCATTTCAGCCCTTTGTCAAAAATCAGCTGGCCATAGGTCGATGGATCTATTTCTGGGTTCTCAATTCTATTCTACGGGTGTTATGTGTCTTTTGTTGTACCAACAGCAGGCTATTTTGACTACTGTGGCTGTATAGTAGGTTTTGAAATTTGGAGTGCGAGACTTCATACTTTGTTCTTCTTCTGAAATAATGCTTTGCTTATCCGAGGTTTCTTTCCATATAAAATCAGTAATTGATGTTTTCATATCCTTAAAGAATGTTGATGGAATCTGGATTGTGACTGCATTGTAGTTAGATTGCTTTGGGTAGTACTGACATTTTCACAATGTTCAAACTTCCTATCCATGACATAGTATGTCCTTCCATTTATGTAGATCTCTGATAGTTTCTTGAAGTAGTGTTTTGTAGTTTTCTTTGTATAGGTCTTTTGTGTCCTTGGTAAGATTTATTACTAAGTATTTTATCTTTTTGGTAGCTATTATATATAGTATTGATTTCCTTACTTCCTGTTCAGAGACCTCTTTGCTGGTATAGAAGAATCCAACTGAATTTTTGTATGTTGATCATGTATCCCGCCACTGTACTAAATTTTTCAATTCAGTAGTTTTCTTGTTTAGTCTCTTGGGTTTTCTATGTATAGGATAATATCATCTGCAAATGGGGGTATTTTTACTTCTTCCCAATTTGGATGTCTTTGATTTCCTGTTCTTGCCTTACTGCCCTGGCTAGGACTTGCAGTACAGTGTTGGATAGAAGTGGTGATATAGGGCACATCCTGTGTGGTTCCCATTAGCAAGGGGAATGGTTTCAGTCTCTCTCCATTGTGAATAATGTTGGCTGTTGGTTTTGTATATATGCCCTTTATTATATGGAAGAGTTTACTTTCCATTCCTATTTTTCTGAGAGTTTTTATCAAGAATTGGTGTTGGATTTTATCAAAGACTTTTCTGCATCTCTTTATGAGCATGTGGTTCTTTTCCTTCATTTTACTTATGTGATGGATTAAGTTTTTTTCTAATGTTGAACCATCCTTGCATGCCTAGTATGAATCCCACTTGTTCATAATTTTTTTTATTTTAAGTATGGTGTTAGAGTCTATTGGTTAGGATTTTATGGAAGATGTTTGCATCTATATTCATGAAGGATATTGGTTTGCAGTTTTCCTTTTTAGTGGTGTCTCTGCCTGGTTTTGGTATCAGGGTTATGCTTGCTTCATAAAATGAATTTGGGAGGATTCCATCTTCAAGACACTGCTTCCTCCACAGAGGACTTGTTGAAATTGCAAATTTGCCCTAATGTTTGCAATACCCAGATGTTCTGGTTCCAGTTCTTTGTATCTAATAACAAAACAATATTTTAGCAAACTGAGTGTCTGTTTCCAGTAGTTTTCTGAATGATGATTTTGTCAGTCTTTACTCTGCCCCAGAATCTTCCAATTATCACTACAAATAATTATTTTAAATAATGTGAGCATAAATATGTATCAGTTGTTACTGTCTCACGTCATGTTTTCAAAGCACTTACAAACTCTGAGTATATTGTATTTATTGCCTTAATGATTATCATGTACCACAATAATGCTCAGTCCCTGTGGTTCAGAATCTTTTGAATTATTCCAGTATACCAGGCTGGCAGCCTCTCCCACCCTCCTGCAAACATTAGAGAGATGGTGCCTTACGAAACAATATGTGGGCTGTTCTAGGGCTCGGTGGTTTTTGATGATGTAGCTGTGAACTTCACCCAGGAAGAGTGGGCTTTACTGAATGTTGCTCAGAGGAATCTCTACAAAGATGTAATGCTGGAAACCTTCTGGAACTTGGCCTCACTAGGTAAGAATGGCATCATTCATTCATTTAGTTTTTTGTGGAACAAATACATCTCCCACATTGTCCTTTATTATTTGGGCTAAGGAATGGAAATGTGTTAGAGATAAGACAGACACAGTCTCAGAACTCTTAGAAATTGAGGTCAGAGAGTTTTTCCATGAAAGCAGAGTTTAATGTATTAAACTGATTTTTATTTCTCTTGGTTAAAATCTCAAGGCTCCCTAAGTTTGTTATGTTTGGGTACAGACTCCTTTTGAGTACACAGCAGCTTTGTGGTTTACACCTCTTGTGAGAGTTATGCTCTAATACACATTTAACACAGTAATTTTGCTGCACTTGAACTTACCCTTATCCATATTCAGCCACCATAAACTTGAAAGTATTGGTCCATCTCATGGAAATATTTGTTGCCCTTCATAATCCTACCTGATCATGAGCTTTGTTTCATTAACAAGGTATCAGCCACACATTCCCATGTGATTCCCCCAATGGGACCTGGGGACAATGGAGGGAGGATTTGTCTAGGGCATCTGTGCTTGTGAGCATCAGGAAGGTAAGACTCTTTGGAATGAAGAGGTTTTTTAATAATGGGTTTATATTTGGAAATACCAACTAAAAAAATGAATTAGTTTTTGAGAAGGATGAAGTTGATTTTTGAGGATAAGTGGTCCCAAAAATGTCTACTAGAAAGTACTTTGTAGTTTATCTGTCTTCCTTTCACTTTTCATCTGTCCTCATCATTTCTTTCTTATCAGGGAAAGACTTTCCTATTTCCTCTTTTAAAGGTAGCATTTGGGCATGTGCATTTTGCTCAGTTCCTCCCTACTTTGCTTTTGTGATTATACCACAAAATATCCTTTTTTATACCAACACCAGTCTCCATCTTTTTGGAAGTACAATATTTCTTAACAGATGGAGTCCTTTGGTAACACAAAGCACATTAATGTGCTTGGCTGATAACTGAAAGTGGGATTGGCTCTTCAGCAACTGATTTCTTAGTGGATAGGCTGCCATTTTTACCCGTTTTCTCTTTTCTTATCAGTGTTTCCCAGAGTCTTCCTTTGTTTACATGCCCATAATTCTTAGTAAACTTTGTTTACCACTCTGCATCAGTATATGAAAATAAATCAATAGCCTTTTTTCTATAATAAATTACATGTGTTATTAATTTTTTACAGACTGTTATATTCAAGTTAAAACCAATAGATCAAGTCCTCACCAGGATCTTTTTGGCAATGAAATCCCCAGTGATGAGAAAATAAAAAGTTTCCTAAGAAATGAGTCATCCAATTTGGAAGAAAAAGAGAAACTTCAGACTGAAGATCAGCCAAAAATTCAGAAGCAGCATTTGAGGTGAGTGGCATTTACAAAGAGGAAGGAGTATCCCAGCAGAGTGTTAGACTATCTTGAAGAAAAAGTATAATCATAGCTAAACAATTGTGTACTCACAAGTTTCGCAAGACAATATTTTCATAAATGTGATGTAGATATTAGATATTAAGTGTCTGAAACATACTTTTTAGTTAGAAGCAATGGCCAGGAAACCCCATAGTGACAAATGATATGACAGTACTGGCTTAATCAACTCTTCACCCAAGAATTCAGGTTTTTCCACTTGGAAACAATGGGGACAGTGCAGAAAACAACCCCATTCACTCAGAATGGGAAACGTGTAATTGTACTAATAGAATACTCACTTGCTTCTCATCTTTAGGGAATGTGTGAGCAGTCAGAGCGGACAGAAAATCCTTGTGTGTGAAATATGTGGGAAAACCTTTAGGCATTCCTCTTCCCTTCAAGTTCATTTAAGACGGCACAGCGGAGAGAAACCCCATCAATGTAAGGAATGTGGGAAAGCCTTCAGTTGTTACTCTTCCCTTCGTGGACATGAGAAAACACACCATGAGCAGAAAACTTACGAATGTAAGCAATGTGGCAAAAGTTTCACTTGTCCCAAATCCTTTAGAACTCATGTGAAAATGCACAGTGGAGACATACCCAATGAATGTAAGCAGTGTGGCAAAGTTTTTGTTTGTCCCAAATACTTTCAAAAGCATGTGAAAATGCACAATGGAGAGAAACCCTATGAATGTAACCAATGTGGGAAAGCCTTCATGGTTCTGTCATATCTTGAAAGCCACGTAAGAACCCACACTGGTGAGAAACCCTTCGAATGTAACCAGTGTGGAAAAACCTTCAACTGGCCCAACTCTTTACAAGCACATATGAGAACGCACTCTGATGAGAAACCCTTTGAATGTAACCAATGTGGGAAAACATTTATGTATTCCTCCTCCCTTAAACTACATTTAAGACGGCACAGTGGAGAGAAACCTTATGAATGTAAGGAATGTGGAAAAGCCTTCAGCTGTCCCACATACTTCCGAGAACATGTGAGAATGCACACTGGAGAGAAACCCTATGAATGTAAGTATTGTTGGAGAGCCTTCACTTTTTATTCATCCCTGAAAGAATGCACTGTGGAGAGAAATCCTATAAACATAAGCAGTATGGAAAAGCCTTCCTTTGTTACTCTGTCCTTCATGGCCATGAGAAAACACACAGTGAGCAGAAACCTTATGAATGTAAGCAATGTGGCAAAGGTTTCAGATGTCCCAAATACTTTCGACAACATGTGAACATGCACAGTGGAGAGAAACCCTATGAATGTAAGGAATGTGGGAAAGTCTACAGTATGCCTGCAAATCTTCGACAACATATGATAACGCACAGTGGTGAGAGACCTTATGAATGTAAACAATGTGGGAAAACCTTCAGTTGGTCTACCTCCTTACGATTACATATGAGGACGCACTCTAGTGAGAAACCCTATGAATGTAAGCAATGTGGAAAAGCTTACAAGTGTCTCATATCCCTGCAAGGACATATGAGAAAACACACTGGAGAGAAACCTTAAGGATACAAGGCATGTTGGGAAGCCTTTATTCACCCTAAAAGCCTTGTGAACTCAAGAAAACACATTGTAAAAAAAAAAAACAAGACACACAAATGTAAACAATGTTGGAAAATCTTCAGCTATTATGGCCCATTTATTGTGTACATGAAAACTCAGGAGGAAAATCTTTTATTATAGCTCTATTGCCTTTCTAAGCACCTCATCCTTAATATGGTTCTCTTGTGTATTAATGTCTAGTTTATGTCTCTAAAGAGCTCTGGTGGCATAATGCCTAAGGCATTTGACTGGTAACCAGAAGGCTGGTGGTTCAAACCCACCAGCCACTCCCTGGAAGGAAGGTTGGGCAATCTACTTCCGTAGTGATACTGTCTTGGAAACCAAGGAGGGGTTGCTATGAGTTGGATCTGACTCGACGGCAGTGTGTTTGGTTTTGGTTTGGTTTATGTTTCTAATATAAGCATCTAAGGTAACAGCCTTCTGTGTCCTTGAGTGGTACAAACAAACAGTGAAATGCTTGGCTAGTAACAGAAAGTTTAGTGTTTCAAAGCCACCCAGAGGTGCCTCTCAAGAAAGGCCTGACAGTCTTACTTTAAAAAAACCAGCCATTGAAAACATTAGGGAGTGCAGTTCCATTCTGACACATATGGAGCTATGAGTCAGCGTCAACTCGGGGACAACTGGTTTGGTTTTCGTTTTCATGTGACCTTTTAGCTGTATCGCATATATTTTGTTATTAAAATTGTTAAAACCGTTGTACATTTATACAAATCTTATCTCATGTCCATTACAACATCTCTTGGATCCAGAAGCTTTTGTTTGTTTATATATGCTACATGGTGTAATTTTATATAAGAAACTTTTGATTCCAATTTTTCATTCTGTTCCTAATACATAGTAATGACATAGGAGACTCTGGCATTTTTTTTTTTTTTTTT